CCAGATTCACTTAAATTTTAGCGAAACACAAAGGAACTAACCTAGATGTTTGATAAGTAATTTACAGTATTCGTGTCCGTGTTGTATCCAATATACCGTAAATCCTCTATTTAGCCCCCCCTCTAAAATAAGCCCCCCCCCCCACTTTTTAAAGGAAGAAATTTGTTAAGCCCCCCTCACTTTTTAGCCCAGCAGCAGTAAGGGGGACCCGCGGAGGGGGTACCATATGAGTCGGGTATTACCCCCGCCAAGTGCCATTGGTCCCCCGCGGGTATTACCCGTTATAAGAGCATATTTTTTTCCCTTTTTTCGGCAACCATTTTCGGCTACCTTTTCTACTCCCACACGGCTTTCCTGGTAGACACACTTCTATACGAAGTAGTATTTTTGGAACTACTGCTGCGCTGGGAACAAGCGCCAGAATATACCGTGGTTTGGTAGGTAGAGGCGAAACACCGCTACCTTGCAAGGGCTGCGAAACGCCGCTCTCGGAAAGTTTGTACTACGCAGCATTTCCCCACCGTAGCAAGAGAGGAACGAGTCGTTCCCCTTCTAGTAGTAGCCAAAAACCTTCGACACCCTATATATACATGGAAGAGCAAAAGAGTATTTCGGCAACATTGCAAGAGATGGGGATACGTGCGAAGAATAGAGTGCTGGCACATTTGCTGCTGGACAACGCGTACGACGGGAATCTACTACCCGACATATCCAAATGCRACTTTTTGCGCGGAAACGAAGGTACTACGAGTTTGCAGCCGCTGTCTGGRTTGCCACCGTTCGTAGACGATGTGTTTGTCTATGGCTTTGTCGCAGAAAACGACATGTATGGACGCATATGCAGGAACACAAAAACGCTTGTATCCAAAATATCCACTGCGGCACAGGAAGCCTTTGGTACCTTTCTACATGTCCAAAYAGTACACAGCTGCAGGAAAGGAAAAATAGTAGATAGCGTTTGCCACATGGCAGCCAAGTGGTCCAGTTTKCATGGAGAACCCGCAGCRGTATTTGTAGCCAAAGTAGACACCTCGGAATTGTCCATAGAAACCGTAGAGGAAAAGATACCCCAGTTTGCTATTCTACTGGATGCACACGGATATGGTATCTATTCCGTAGACTACACACAAGATTTCTCTGGTACTTTGGATAGAAAAGCTTTGGTGCGCAGACTTCTACAACTGGGCTACGAAATGCAAGGAGAACTGGGCGGACACAAAGGTACTATTTCGGACAACACACACCAAGTAAGCAGCCACGTTTGCACTTGAATGGAGAATGGGAAACGTACGAAAATATACAACAAAATAGTATCCAACTTCGAAGCCGGAGAAGTGCAAAACCCAGTAGGAGCGAAGTTGGCAGAGTACGTGGATTGTCCAAACGACCACCTGCGTAGAACATTCCTGCACCCAGACGTGCAGAAAAGAGGATGCAGCAGAGTGGAAATATCCATCTATGGTAGGGATTTCTCCAAAGAACACACCAATTCTATTACGGAGACCATAGAGCTTCTAGGAAACATATTCGTAGTGCAACCACCCAAAAACATGTGGTTGGCGCTTGATGAGCACTTGGATAGATGTTTGTGTATTTGCTGCGAGGAAACGAAAGAAATATTCCTAGCTTGGTACTGCCACGCAGAAACAGGCAGAATAGCCGGCATACGAGTACGAGGCAACGAAAAATGGGAACAATGCGTACTTTGGACAATGAAAATCCCAACATCTTTCCAAAATCYGAGAAGATTAAAGAATAKTCATTCCTCACATGGACTGTAACCTTGTGATTGAGCGTTTCATGAGAGAACCATACTGTATCTTTGTATTTAGTCGCCTTGACCAAATCGTTCATCTTGCCAATAATGCTCTCCAATGAAGAGTAATGACCCTGGGGCACAATAAA